ATTTTGTGAAAGAGTGTGTTCGCAATTATAAAATTGATCTCGTTACGATAGAAGGGCCTATTAAACAAGCATTGGAAAAGTATTCTAAACTACGACCGAATGTCAAGGCAATCTTTGTGGGTACTCGGAGAAATGATCCTCACGGAGGTAAGATAATAATTTTGTAATATTATTTAAAATATTCTATAACCAACGTTACTCAAATTCAAATGTATTCATAGGTAACCTATCAAAATTTATGCAAACGGACCCAGATTGGCCACCCTTCATGCGCGTTCATCCAATACTTGATTGGCGTTACGCTACGATATGGGAGTTTTTGCGAACATTGAAAGTACCTTATTGCATTCTATACGATAAAGGGTAAATATTGTTAACTTTATCTATCCTAGATATTTCGAAATAATCAATTGTTTCTCTGATCTGTGTGAACTATTTAAGGTATACCTCTTTGGGAGGAACCGACAATACGCGTCCTAATCCTGATCTTCGCAATCCCACACAACCCTGTGGATATGATCCGGCATGGAAATTGGTCGATGAAAACAGAGAAAGAAGTAGTAGAGAATGAAACTTAAAGATTATCACGGATCATAATGAAATCTGATCAAAATGAAATTGGAGTTTCTATTTAACCTTCTAAAACCCATTTATACTTGTTTACTATAAATTATATCCCTAAAGCTGATCCCTAAAGAAAAGTTAAAAACATGCAACCCAAGATTTGTATTTTTCGCTGGCTTGTCTATTTTACACTATACAAAATTTCATTTTAATCTGCTTTCATTTTTATCCGCCACAAAGATTTAAGACAACCGATGCTTTAAGAATACTAGAAAACGAATGCTGTAAATAAGTTATGATTAGGATAAAAATTTAGTAGTAATATTACTTACAGTAATAATAATTAACATAGACTAGATGTGATTAGATTTTTTAATCAGAGATAATATTATAATAGAAAGATGGAATAATTATAATAAACCTTAGTTTAATGATTTATTAGAGTTTATTATATATATATATATATATTAAAAAATTCATAGTCATAGTCAAATGTAAACTTTAAAAGATTGCCCATTAAAAGTTTTTACAATCTACAACTTTTTTTTTTTTTTGTAGGTAGGAAACAAAAGAAAGCTGATTAAAATGAAATTTTGTATAGTGTAAAATAGACAAGCCAGCGAAAAATACAAATCTTGGGTTGCATGTTTTTAACTTTTCTTTAGGGATCAGCTTTAGGGATATAATTTATAGTAAACAAGTATAAATGGGTTTTAGAAGGTTAAATAGAAACTCCAATTTCATTTTGATCAGATTTCATTATGATCCGTGATAATCTTTAAGTTTCATTCTCTACTACTTCTTTCTCTGTTTTCATCGACCAATTTCCATGCCGGATCATATCCACAGGGTTGTGTGGGATTGCGAAGATCAGGATTAGGACGCGTATTGTCGGTTCCTCCCAAAGAGGTATACCTTAAATAGTTCACACAGATCAGAGAAACAATTGATTATTTCGAAATATCTAGGATAGATAAAGTTAACAATATTTACCCTTTATCGTATAGAATGCAATAAGGTACTTTCAATGTTCGCAAAAACTCCCATATCGTAGCGTAACGCCAATCAAGTATTGGATGAACGCGCATGAAGGGTGGCCAATCTGGGTCCGTTTGCATAAATTTTGATAGGTTACCTATGAATACATTTGAATTTGAGTAACGTTGGTTATAGAATATTTTAAATAATATTACAAAATTATTATCTTACCTCCGTGAGGATCATTTCTCCGAGTACCCACAAAGATTGCCTTGACATTCGGTCGTAGTTTAGAATACTTTTCCAATGCTTGTTTAATAGGCCCTTCTATCGTAACGAGATCAATTTTATAATTGCGAACACACTCTTTCACAAAAT